CGTCTTTTTGTGCAAAATCTCCAGTTCTTTATTTGCACCACGACTTTTATATTCTCCGTTATTTTTTCCCCTGTGCAACTTCTTACACGCAACAGAATTTGCAAACTTCTCTTTACTTAACGATACTGCTCTTACTTTCTCTCTCTCCTTCTCCCCTCTCTCTCTCTCTTCGTTCTTCCTTTTCTTCTACCCTTCACTGTTCTCTATCCCTTTCTCTTTTTCTCCCTCTCTTTCTCTAAAAATGTACAACTTTCTTTAGTTTTAAAAATTGCATAAACTTTTTTTCAAATTTTGAAATACATTTGCTAATTTCTGTCAATTTAAAAAAAAAACAACTTAAATCAAAACTAAGAGATGATGAATGTTTAATTAATATTTTTTTGCAGATGTTGCTATATTACTAGTATTCATTACTAAACTACTACTACAAAATAATAATAATAATAATAATAATAACGACAACGACGACGACGATGAGGTGATGATGATGATGATGATATGTTCTAAAGAACGCTTGATTATTTATTTTTATTGTACGCAGCTGTCATTGGGACTAGTATGCAAATGCATGTAAACAAGTCAGAAATATTTTTTTCACTTTTTCATACACGTTTAATGTTTTTTGTTTCTTATTCTTCTTTACTTCCTCCTCCTTCCCCACCTCCTCTCTCTCATCTCTATGTGCAACGTCTGCTGACCCGTGATTTGATGCAATTATTTTTATCCCCATTTAAATCCAATATAAAATAAAATAAAAACTATTGTTTTAATTTTAATTTAAAACAAGTTTTTTTTTTATTTTAAACTTTTAAATATTTTTGTATATTTTTTTATATTATATTAATTACTTTGTAACTTTTTGAGAAGGAGAAATCTCAATAAAATGTATTTCATATTTTCTCAGAAAAATAGTTTTTTTCGTACGACAAAAATACCAACGGAATAAAGAAGTAATTTAATTACTAACAATTATTAGTACCCGTGTGTGTGAGCATGTGTGTGTTCGTTCATGCTTGTGTGTTAAAAGCGCTTCTTTTGCTTAACCAAAGTTTGTATGGGAGTGGAGAGAAATGTTGCAAATGCTGATATTACAGCATTAACTTCATCTTTTTTTCAGTAAAGCAACTTTTCTATCACTTTCTACACACAAATTCTATTCTTTCTACACTCAAATTATATTTTATCACTTAACTTCACCCATTTGTCTCTTTCTATCCATATTTCAAAGTAAAGTGAATCTGAGACAAGGCCACATTTTTTCAACTCCAAGTAAGCAAGCATCAATCTCCCTATGGAACCAACAAAATGTTCTCAACTGTAATTTAAATAAGTTAATCTTTCAATTTATTTTCTAGTTGTCTTTTCATTTTCTCAATCCTTTTATTTATATCTTTAATCCTCTCAGATTACTTCTATAGTCTCTCAAGAAGAGAAAAAGATAATATTTATTATCCAACCAAAATGTTCAGTTCTTTTCTTGGCTATAAGCTGTTCTTTTAGAGAATGGTTAAATGATTGACAAATTGCCATTATTTAGGAGTTAGTTACTTTTTAAACATTTACCATAAAATATTTACCATAAAGATTTGTCCTTCAAATTTATTGCTGTTATAGAAGTAGGCAGGTCAAAACATTTGTTGCAATAACACTGTCACCTGTTAGCCCGATTGCAGAACACTCTATGGATTTAATTTGAGTTATATTGTACTAATGCTTGTGAAAAGAAATCTGGCAAAAAATAAAAATCTCAGCATACAATGATACATTTAGAAAAATACTCAAATTATTTTTGGTTTTATATCTGGCAACTGCTTAAAAATCATAATAGTGATATCATAATAATTGAATGCATTGCAACATGGCATTTCCTCAAATAAGCTAAATATCTTACAATTTACTGGGTTGGTGATTTCTTGAGAACACAGAATAAAGATTCTCATTCAAGTAAGAAAAAAAATGTATTTCTCCAGGGTTCTGTTTCAAAATTAAAATCTATTTCAAGCTTAGATGTTTTCTCTTAGTCTCTCTTCATTTTTGGATATTTACTCAAATTATTTGCCTTTCATTTATTTTCATTTTTTTCCCTTCTCCACAACATACCCCTCTGCTATTTATTATTATGTAACATTAATTTCTCTGTCTGTTTGCTTGTTTGCCTGCTTGCTTTCCTAAGGCCAATTTAGTAGGTGCAATTATGTAGAGAAGGAGAGAAACCAAGTGGAAGTACTAATGCTACCAATAAAGAGGTGGAAAAGTAGCAATTAAGATGGTGGGAAAAGAAAACAGAATTAAAATGACAATAATAAGTATATTGCCATTATTTAAATGTGCAATCTGTCTTTGAGTCAATATAACAGCAAGAGTTTCGGTAAGTTCACACATTGTAAGTCAAGTTAACTGATAGTAAGTGTTTACATGTAGGTCAGTATAAATTATCATTATATTTTTGGATTACTGAAAACCTGGATTAAATGGATTTCAGTAGAAGATTGTTATAGACATGTATACTTGAATCAATTAGTAAAGAACTGATATTAAGAATCCTTTTTATATTGCAAAATGAAATCACAGGAACAGCTGGAGTAGTGAAAACTGATTGATAAGATAACACTTTAATCCTGAAATCAGATCTGACTGACTAGAGCAATGATGCATTAGGATCTGAACTATTGAGGGATAATGACAAGGAAACATGTGTTATATTTAACAAAATCAGATAAGGAATTTATTTACAAATTTACACATTTGAAGTTGTCAGTAGCTTGTTTCAGGAAAAGGAATCAAATATTTAAAGTTCATAGTTTTATGAATTGTCAAGAAGAGAAAATGTTCATATTAAATCAGCGGACACAAATTAATATTCCAAAATGTTTAAAACAAATTGAAAGAGTTCATTTTTCACATAAAAGTTATCCGGTTGTATTCAACATGAATGAAAAGATATATTTTAAGGTACTTAGCTTTGGAGATGAACAGAGTTCTTTGAAATTTCCCTGCTCCCATTAGAGGCTATAATGTATGGGCATTTAATTTGACATCAGGGTTATTCAAACATGTACAACTCTGTCTTTCTGCCTCCTCCTTCTTTATGCTTTTTCTCTCTCTCTCTCTCTCTGCCTAGATTCAACTTTCTCTACTTATTATATCAAAAAGCAATTTCACATCGACTTGTTACTTTTTTCTCAGTTTGTAAGTCACTCCTTTTTCCATTGGTCAAAATAAATTTTTGCATAGGCTTCCAAATTTGAAGACAGTGGAGAAAAGAGAGATATTTTTATTTTGTATTCACCACAGATCCACCTAACCTAAAATATATCCTAAAATTCCTTTGTGGTCATTACTTTGTCTTGACCTTACATAATGGAGAGTTCCTTACTGTGATAGAGTAGTTGTGTTGAAAGGATGTTGATGGAGTTATCATTAACATAAACATTATAGGATCAGACAAAGAGATATAGAAGTTTTTAGTTGAAACCTCGTTTGAATAACAGTGACACAAATGCACACCCACTTTCTCCATGATCATTGTTTTGATCTTATTCAAACTCTTGATTGGTCAATGATTGCATAATGTTTTTTCAATGGCCAGTCAAGTGAGTGCAAAATAATAATAAATCTCTTTACCCACTCCCTTCAAATATGGAGGAATGAGGAAAAAGATGGAAAAGAATTCACAAGCCTATGTGAAATTTTCTTTGGACCAATGAAAACTTTGCCTTCACAGAGATTGACCATGGAGCTGAGAAAAAGATGGAAATAAATTTGTGAGCATATGTGAAATTTATCTTTTGGACAAATGAAAACCTTGTCTTCACAGAAATTAGCTGTTGAGCCAAGAAGAAAGAAAAGAAAGTAGTGAGCCTATGCAGAATTCCTTTTGATATATGAGGAGAAAAATTAAATTAAAGGAAGGAGAGTGTCTGAATTTGTATGAAAAGTTTTGTTTCAAATCCTCTCAGCCAGTGACCAACATTCAAGTTCTTGCCAGTGTAAAATTATTCACCAACTATTATCAACTTTTAACCACGCATACGGAACTTCAAAGAATTTTTTCTCAAAAATCCACAAAAGCTAAGTATTTCAAAGTATCTCTCTTCATCTTTTGAATGTATGCAATTGTATATCACTTCAGGACAATACCTTAAAATTATGGACTTTAAAAATTTCTGATTTATTTTCCTGAAATGAGCTACTGACACAACTTCAAGCAAATTCGTAAATAAATTCCTTATCTTGTCTTATTAAAATTATATATGTATTTCCTCATCATTATCATCCTCCATTAATCTTCTTAGCGTGGATAAATCAACTGTTCATTTTAACCCTATGCCATTTAAGTCCTATGCCACTATATACCTAGTGAATTGCTTGCAGAAAATTAAGATAAAAAATTAATAACAATAATTAAATGATATCATAAATGATGGTTTTCTTTAAATTTAGCTTTCCAATTTGGCTTCAATCATGATCTGTAAAAATTCCATTGTCAACAGTTTTTCAAAATATCTATTTTAACTTTTGAGCCAGGATGCTTGCAGTAACACAAGCTAAACTAACTTGTATGCCAAGTCCTGACCTCTTCAACTGCTACATCACCTTACATCTACACTTAATTTTCTTCTTCTTCTATCCTCAAAAATGATTGCACTTTAGACCAAATTCTGGTCACCAGTCAATCTTTTGATACTACACTACACTAGACATTGTGTCACATTTACAGTGACTTTGACTTTGAGACAAATATTATTGTCAGACAACAAAATGATTTCAAAGTCAACTCATTACAATTTGCATTATCAGATACTACTATTGATATGATCAAATAACAATAATTCCTTTTAAAAAATAATTTTAAATTTTTAAAAATAAAGTAGATGAATGAAAATACTTTTTATAGTATATTATAAAAAGCTGACTGGGCACCATCCTTATGAAGGGTTTTTCCCAAATTAACTGTGGTTCAAATACTGAATTCTAGAATAAATGGCAATAGTTATTTC